TGGGCCGGCCTGTGGCGGAGGCCGCTCACGCGGGCAGCCATGCTGCCCGAACGCAAGATGGCCGCCCGGGGCACGCGGGAAGCGTCCTACTCGCTTCTCTCTTCGGCCATCTTGGAGACGGGCACCTAATCCCTCCCTCCCCGCGCCCGTTCCCTAGGGGCGCCTGAGCTGGGACCGGTGGGGGGATTTCAGGCACTCCAAGCCCCGCCGCAGGGGGCAGGGCGGCCATCTTGGGTGCGGGCACAGCCTCCTCTGCGGGCAGGCAGCCCCTCCCCCACCTGGAAAGGGTGGGTGGAGGTGGCTCTGGGTGCCTCCTGACCGTGCAGGTGTAGAGGTCCCCTCTAGTGCAGGCCCCTTGTCCCCAGCCAAATCCAGTGTCTCCCCCCTGCACCTCACCCCTGACAGCCCTGGGCATCGCACCTCCTCGCCTGCTGCAAGTACAGCAGGGCGACCTCTGCAGCCAGCGCCCTGCCGCTGCACGGGTGTTCATGTGAGTAATGATAGGGCATTCATTACAATAAATATTCAATGTTGAGTCCAATTTATACAGTAGTCAAGTGGGTTTTTAAAATGTAATGTACATTTGCCTTCCTGAGTACAGTACAGTTGATCAGTCATTAATGTCATTATGTCATGTGATGAAACCTCCCGGAATAGATTCAAACAGAGGTGGCAACCCTACCCCAGCAAGCTCGACCACTTTCCAAAGATGTGAAGCTGTGTGCATTAACATATGTGTACCAAGAGGGGGACTTCCTCTGTGAGCAGTCGCTCAAACCCAGGGCCTCATACCCTGACCCTTGTGGTTCCCCACTTCCTCTGACTCAGTGGGCAGCAGCGCTGAGCAAACCACTTCCAAGAGGCAGCACAGGATTTGGCTGTTGCTGTCAGTCCCCAGTTTTCCCCTTCTAATTTCCCAGAGCCATGAATACCACCAACTCTCATTAGCAATATGCTTGCCTGCTCTGCATTGGCTTCGGAGACTCCTGTCCACCAGTCTAACCGCACACAGTAGGCTGTCCCTAGTAAAGACAGCTGCTATCTCCCATGATTTCTGAGGAGAATGAGGCCAGGTTGCCCTCAGGGAAAATAAAGGGCCCTTCTATTGTCAGGAGACAGACACTCACTGTAGGCAGCAAACAAATATGGGGACAGACAAGGAGGGAAGGTGAATGTGAAAGGAAAGCAGAGATGTCTAAGGTGTGTGGGAAGAGCAGTGGAGGGACGACAGGAGGGAACGTGAGGAGGCAAAGGAGAGGTTGGACAGAGTGTGAGAGGAAATGTTAGGGGAAGCATGAGATCAATGAAGGGAGAACAAGAGCGAGACAGAGAAGGTCAGGACAGCACCACAGTGTCCAGGACAGCAACAGATTGGCATTCCCCACTCCAGGAGCTGGGGCCGAGAGACAATTCAGCAGAATTGGCACTGAGACTGGGAAGAATTTCCTCCACAACCTTTATATTTTTACCTGTGCAACTACAAACCCATCAGAGGCCCATATGCATGTTCTTTCCATCTCCAACTTACTGACTCTGCTGTATCTTCCGCAAGTCAGCAGGCTGTGCACCTCTGTGAGGGGCTGTGAGCAGACAAAAGAAGGGCCTTAATTGACATATTTTTCAGAGAATGCGTGCGTGTCTTCATGTTTACTGGATCTCTCGGTTCTTTCGGATCCATAGAGAAAGGCAGCATTAAGCATTTATGCTTGGAGGGCGGGGTAGTCTTTTATCCAAGAAACCTTCTGCCGATATTTGAAGAACATGAAACCTGCAGGCAAGGATAGGAACAGAGCCAAAACCATTTCAGAAACATGGAGGGTGTTAAGAATCTAAGCTAGGACGTGAAAGCCTGAGTGACTGCAAGTTTTGTACATTTTTTATAAACATCAACCTTTACAGAGGAGATGAGATGGCTACACATGAAACCAGTGTGTGTAGGGTACATTTTCAATAAATAAATACCCAGATAGATTTCAAATAAAAAATTCCTTTAGTTTCTTTTACAAAAAGTTGAAAAAATAGCTTCTCTTTTACAAAAAAGAGAAAGAAGTTTCTGGTATATCAGACTGACCTTGTAGGTACTTGCAGTTATTTCTATTAAAAAATAAATATCAGGGGATTATAAAATACAATTCCTCAATGCCTTAGTGATAAACATTAACCACAACTAGCTGGAAGTCAAAAATCTTCCACATCTATCATTTCACACGACAATACTCATCTGACCACGCTTTCCTATCCCTGAACTGTAAAATCTAAGTGTTGGAAACTGAGCAAACTAATACTTTTTATTCTTGACAGTATGGTAGTAATACAAGATTCCCTATACAAATAGTACAAGACTCCTGAAGTAAAAGACGCCTGGTTATTAACCAGGACTCTAGTATACCATGGTCTGTACAAAACAAAATAGAAAGATATATTCCCAAAGACCTTCAATCACAAGCCCAGGCAACTCCACCTTGCTGCCACTGATGTCAAATGGAGCAGGTTTGGGCTGTTAGATTCCTAGCAATATTTGGCTTTATTTTCTCAAAGCACAAAAAAAGTTCTTTTTCCTGCAGGTAATGCAGCATCAGCAGTAGGGGAAAATAAAATAAATCTATATTTAAAAAAGATGGAAATTGGCAATGACTCAGCACTGTGTGCTAAGCCACTCATCCACTGCAAACTCTGTCTCATTTTAGTGGGTTTCTCTACAGTGTTCGATTAGCAAAGGAACATCCCAGGCTAAAGTGATGCAGTCCCACTTCCTTTTCTATACTGCTGTTACTGGTATAATTCAGGGCTCTCTGAGGGCTCTCTGAGTAGCACAAGGCTTCTTGATGAGGTGGTAGATGAAAGCTATGAGGATCAAGAACATGGACAGTATACCCACAATACCAATCAGAGCCCCACGGTAGAGGCTATTGGCCTCTGGTGGTTCATGAGTGGGAACTGCTGTTTGTGGGTAAAGTTTGGTCTCACCTGAAATGTTTTCATCATCACTTCCTTTTTTACATGTGTATGGGTCAGTGAGGACCTGCCCATCAGGACAATTACATCTGAAGCTGCCTGGTATATTTGTGCATATCCCATCACAATGCTGCATTTCACATTCATCAATGTCCACACAAGTCTTCTCACCACCCTCACCCTCATCCAAAACAAACCCTTCAGGGCAGTAGCATACATTCTGCCTGTGTGTGTCACAGTTTGCTGGGCACTGATTTTGGTTGCAATGTAAGACACATTTGTCATGGTTATGGGGGTCAGGGATATAACCTTAGAAGCAACTGCATCTGTAACCACTGGGGACATCCTCACATTTTTGCTGACATCTTGTTTCATGACAATATATCACATCCTTGCATTTCCCCTCCACCAGCTCATAGCCCTGGTGGCACTGGCACTGGAAGCCCCCTTCAGTGTTGATGCATACTTGGTCACAGATATGTGGGTTGACTTGACAGTCATCGATGTCCTGGCAGCTGATGCCATCCTCGGTCAGCTTGTATCCCTTATGGCACATGCACGTGAAGTCAGCACCATGGGGGTTGCAGAGATGCTTGCAGGGGGCACCAGCACAGGAGGTAGAGCAGCTGCGCTTGTCTGCCTCCAGTTTCCACCCATCAGGGCAGGTGCAGGAGAGGCATCCATCCTTCTCGTGACACACGCCCTCGCACCCTCCATTCTCCACCTCACAGTGCCAGGTCCCAGGCAGACCAGAGCTCCATCTCATGACCCCTCTGCTGTGTTCTGTGCAGATCAGCTCCAAGCCCAGTGCTGGGATTGAAGCTGTGGTCTGGGGAGGGAGGGCCAGGAGGTCACTGTCTTGTGCCTTAAAGGGGGTGGTGTAGGTCATGGCAGTGCTGGCCCCTGCAGACAACCTGGTGCATGTGCCGGGGTAGTTGTATTCACACAGGAAGCCATCTGCCATGAAGTCGCACTGCCGCTCCTCCCAACTCAGGTCCTGGGATACAGTGACACACTGGTTCTTGCAGATAGGGATATCCAGCTTCCAGATGACATAGTCAGGGCTTTCATCATCCGTGACCCACCGAGACCCACTTGGCTCTTGGGAGGCTTTTGTGCAGTCCTGGGGAAGCTGCAGCTCAATCCATAGGCTGGCACTCTGGTTCTGCATCAGGGAGATGACATTTTCTTCCACCACAGATCTCATCATCAAGAGATGCCCGTTGCTCCCCTCGCATACCTTTCTGGCTTCAGAGAACTGCTTCTGCCCCCAGAAAATGACAAAGCAGTCATTTTTAATGCAGAGGACCCTTGCAGGTTGTGGATCAGTGGGAGCTGAAAGCCTGAGCTGTACTGCACCTACCAGAACAAGGAAGAGCTTCAGCATCACGTTGGGTACCGAGACATCAAACTGACCATAATGTGGCTACAGGACTCCCATCTGGTCTAGCCGGAGTGAGCTTGAGAATGAGAGTTTTCACTGTTGCTTGTTTTGGTTTTTGAGGCAAGCATGGGAAACTTCAGTGATCCCTCAAAGTAGGTGCCCAAATTATTACAAGGATGCCAGCTGTCCCTCCTGCCTGGAAAACAAGGAAATCCCTGTTGAGATGGGATGCAGCTGTGTATTATAGAGCAGCACAGAATCACATTGTTTCTGTGAGACTCTTCAGCTTTGGAGCACATTTTCACACATAGTACTGTGATTCACTAACACCTACCTCCTCCTCAACTCAAGGACACTCCTTCCTCTTGTTAAATCTTTTTCTGTGGAATATCAAGTGAGAGAGCATCAGAAACCCAAAGCGTCTCTGCACATCTTCAAGGAGGCATTTGTAGTAACTTTTTTGTGGTTAAACTCAAAAGCCGTAAACACTTCGAAGCTGATAAGCAGCTGTCTGTTCTGTGCACAGGCAGCTGCAGAAGGAACTGGGGACTGTAGTCCTGTTTCACATCTGGTTTTCTTCACTCCCTCTTGTCCATCTAGGGGATAGAAGAACATTTCCATTCCCTCAAGATACTACTAAGAAAAATCTGGTTAAATAGCATGACCTGAGATTACCTTGTCCATGTCAAGGGGGTTAAGGTCACATCCTCCCTGTCTGTGCAGTGTTCAGGAATCACTCTGGGCTTCTGGTGCCTGGAAACCATCCTCAGTAGTCAGCAACCGGTTGCAAATATATAACAGAGCAGAGGCTTCTGCAGTCCCTCCCACTAACTTCCTGTCTAGCTTCTCTTAAAGGTACAACTCCCATCCTGGATGGAACTAAAGAACATATCTGACAAGCCCTGCTGAGAGGGGGTGTGCTGGGGTGAGGATGTGTCAGATCAGAAGTTGTGTCCAGGAGGTTAAGAACACCCCACTTTGTAGGAGAGTTGTCTGCACTAATGTGACCCCAGTAGTATTTTAAAAAGGCACTAGAGGGTATGCAGGGAACTACAGGTCAGCGAACCTAACTTGGAAAACTAATTATGGTAATTTGCAGACTCAAGGCTTTGTTTCAATGTGTCATCATGAACAGAAATATCAAATGTTCTGTATTTGATACTTATTGTGTCACATTGGATCAGCAGAACATTTGGCCTTATAGATTCATAGATGCTAGGGACGGCTCAACAGATCATCAAGTCCGTCCCCCTGCCTAGGCAGAAAAGAGTGCTGGAGTCAGATGACTACAGCCAGATGTCTATCCAGCCTTCTTTAAAAGACCCCCAAGGTAGGGGAGAGCACCATCTCCCTTGAAAGCCCATTCCAAATTTTGGTCACCCTTACTGTGAAGAAGTCTTTCCTGATATCTAGCCTAAATCTGCGCTTTGTCAGTTTGTGACTGTTGTTCCTTGTTACCCCAAGAGGTGCCCTGGTGAACAGAGCATCTCCGATCCCTTGCTGCGTTCCCCTAATGAATTTGTAGGCAGCCACAAGATCACCTCTCAGCCTTGTCTTGCAGGAGGCTGAAGAGGTCCAGGTCCCTCAGTCTCTCCTCATAGGGCTTGTCCTGCAAGCCTCTGACCATACACGTGGCTCTCCTCTGAACCCTCCCAAGTCTGTCAACATCCTTTTTGAAGTAAGGTACCCAAAACTGGATGCAGTACTCCAACTGCAGTCTGACCAATGCCTCATAGAGGGGAAGTATCACCTCCTTGGATCTATTTGTCATTCATCTGCTGATGCATGATAAAGGGCAGTTAGCTTTGCTGATGGTTTCGTCACACTGACAACTCATGCTCATCTTCGAGTCCACTATGACTCAGATCCCTTCTGCTTCTGTGCTGCTGAGGGTCACTTCCTAGCCAGTAGGTGTGCTGGATATTTTTGAATCCTAAGTGTAGCACTCTGCATTTGTCCTTGTTGTACTGAATCCTATTGTGTCCTGCCCACTTTTCTAACCTGTCCAGGTCTGCTTGCAATCATACCCTACCCTTCGGAGTATGCACTTCACCCCACAATTTAGTATCGTCCGCAAACTTGGACAGAGTAAACTTCACACCCACATCCAAGTCACTGATGAAGATATTGAAGAGTACAGGTCCAAGGACTGAACCCTGTGGGACCCCACTACCCACATCCATCCAGGTCAATACTGACCCATCCACTGCCACTCTCTGGGTCTGACTGCTAAGCCAATTTGCCACCCACCAGACCGTGTAAACATCTATATCACAGCCTCTTAATTTATTTATGAGAATGGGATGAGATACTGTATCGAAGGTCTTGCTAAAATACAAGAAAATGACATCCAACTGTACTCCTGCATCTAAGCGTTTTATGACCGTGTCATAAAATGAAACCAGATTGGTCAGGCATGATCTACCTGCTACTAATACCACACTGGTTTCCCTGTTGCATTATTTTTCCCGCTGGACTCCCACAAATGTGATCCTTCATAATCTTTTCAAAGACCTTTCTAAGGATGGGGGTAAGACTGACTATAATTGCTCAGATCCTCCTTCCTCCCCTTCTTGAAAATAGGGACCACATTGGCCCATTTCTAGCCCTCTGGGACCTGACCCAAGTGCCACGAGCGCTCAGACAGCCGTGCCAGTGGTTCTGCTATGACACCGGCCAATTCCTGCAGTACTCTCGGATGCAGCTCATCCGGGCCTGCCGACTTGAACACATCCAGTCCATCCAAGTGACTCTGCACCAAGTCAGCGTTGACAGTTGGTGGGCTGGTGTCCCTCTGATGCCCATCTAAGAACCTATTAGGAGACTTACCTTGACCTTTGTTCAAGAACACCGAGGCAAAAAACTCATTGAAAAGCTCAGCCTTGTCCCCCCCTGTCTGTCATTAATTGGTCCTTCTTGTTCACTAGGGGTCCTATGCTGCTCTACACCTTCCTTTTAGTCCCTACATACCTAAAAAAAGACTTTTTGTTGTCTTTAATTTGTGTTGCCAGCCTCAGCTCTGTAGTTGCTTTGGCTTTTCTAACTGCTTCCCTGGAAGTGCGGGCCAAGTAGGAATGCTCCTCCTTGATAGCTTCCCCCTGCTTCCACCACCTGTATGCCTTCTTTTTTGCCCTTAGACTCCCCTGGATTTCCCTGTTTAGTTAAAGAAGTTTTTTGGCTCTTTTCTTCCTTTTCCCTCGTACTGGGATCATCTCCCTCTGCGCCCGAAGGATTGCTTCCTTTAGGAGCGACCATCCTTCCTGGACTCCCATCTCGCCTATCCTGCAGCATGTCATTGACTAGACTCCTAAGCACACTGAAGTTAGCTTTCCTAAAGTCAAGCATTTCTACCCTACTAGTTATTTTACCCACCCTATGCCGTATGGTGAATTCGATTGATTGGTGGTCACTATCCCCAAGGTGACTACAAATCTATAGCTCCCCTACCAGGTCATCCCCCGTAGCCAACACCAAGTTCAGTAAGTCTTTCCCCCTAGACCATATACCTCCTGCGTTAGGTAAGGTCCTGCATGCAGGGTAAGAACCTACGTGAACAGCTGGATTTGGCTGACTGCTCCTCCCAGCAGATGTCAGGGTAGTTTAGGTCTCCCATGACAGCCACGTCCCTTGACTGTACGGCCTCTGAGAGCTGCCTCAAGAATTTCAAGTTTAGCTTTTCCTCCTTGTGTGGTGGTCTGTAGCAGACCCCCACCACCAAGTCCCTTTCCCCTTGACCTCTGTGTTTCCTAACCCACAATGTCTCAACTTTCTCCTCCTCTGATCCCATTTTGATTAGGGTAGATGTATAATGCTCCTTTACATAGAGAGCAACCCTGCCCCCTTTCCTCCCTACTCTGTCCCATCTGTACAACCTATAGCCCTCAATGCATACTGCCTAGTCATGAGTAGGGTCCCACCAGGTTTCCATTACCCCACTAAATCAAAGTTATTGTCTGCAAGCAGGAGTGCGAGTTCTTCCTTCTTGTTCCCCATACTCCTAGCATTAGTATAGAGGCACTTGAGCCCTCTGAATGGTGCCTTTGGTGCCTCCCCCGTTCTGATGCCCAAAGGGCCCCTTGGTACTTACCTGGGGTGTACTGCTGCATGTCTCACAGTTTGTATGTTCTAGACTCTCTCCATCTCTTGCCTCCCTGTCCCCCGTTGAACCTAGTTTAAAGCCCGATGTAGGAGGTCAGCCAACCTGTAAAAAAAGAGACTCTTACCTTTTGTGGAGAGATGAATCCCATCGTGTCTCAGGAGGTCCCTTGCATGAAAGTGCGGATCATGGTCCAGGAAGCCAAAACCTGCACGATGGCACCAACTCCGAAGCCGCGGGTTGACTTCTCTGACACAGTTGACATGATACCTACTGCGACTGCTGACCAGGAGGATCAACGAGAAGACCACCTGTGCCCCTGTCTTCCTAAGCCTGGTCCCCAGAGCCCTGTAGTCACTCATGAAATGGTCTGAACTACTCCTGGCCGCATCATTTGTTCCCACATGGATGAGGACCATGGGATAGTTGTCAGAGAGCTGGCTGAGGTCAGAAATTCTCGCTGTGACATCCCTGATCCTGGCTCCAGGCAAGTAGCAGACCTTGCATGCCGTGGGATCTGGATGACAGATGGGTCCCTCTGTATCTCTTGGTAGGGAGTCGCCCACTACAATGACGTGGTGCCTCTTCTTCTGCTTACCTGGCTGGCCCTCAACTTGCTCAGTGATGGTGGCAGGCCCCTCCAGTGCACTTACCCCCACTGCACATTCCTCCAGTGCAGCCAGGGCCTCATATTTGTTCCCCAACTGGGGGAGCTGTCTCTGCGGCAAGAGGTCTGGCCCCAGAGGTGACCATCCTCCACTCAACAGCATCTGCTTCAGGGCATTCCCTCGCAGCTTCTCTACCAGGCATCTTGTCCTGCAGAGAATGTAAGTAGCCATCAATCTCATCTTCAGTTGCCCTGATACCCCACAGCCTGCTCACCTCTGCCTGAAGTTCCCTCATCTACCCATCCAGGGCCCCAATCCGGGCACACTTAGGACAGGTGAGGGGACTCCTGGCCCTCCTGCTAACCCTGGGCCTCCGAGGACCCACCAGACAACCCCTGTAGACAAGGGGCCTGGATGCCGCTGACTCACCCAAAGATTCCATCTGGACAGAGGCCTCAGAGGAGCCCCAGGCGGGAGACAGCATCATGGCAGGGTCCCTGGCTGTACTCCGAGTCACCACCCCCATTAAAACCCTCTCACGTGCACTCACCTGAAGACTCTGCCCGAATCTGCTGGCTCCAACACGTGGAGTCTCAGGCCCCTCCTGCTCTCCCCTCTGCGTGAACTCCCATGCAAACTCCGGCATGCCCCTGAAGAACGCGTCTGTTTGCAGGGCCTGTTT